CCCCTCGTCCTCGCTGAAGATTCATTCCCGCTTCATACATTTGGAGGGTAGATGGGACGAGGCCCAGGGTTCGTGACCTTCGGCTTTGTGTCTGGACAGACTTGGGCTTTTGGTACCATGAAGCGACACATGGGCGAAGGACTAGTCCCAGTCAACCTATGGGAGTTCGCGTACGGGCCTCACTATCTCGAACATCGGATAGCCTATGGGTAGGACTTTGGGCCTCCTCCGCGCGCACGTTGTTTGGGTCTGCCTACCTTTCATTTTAGGAGGCCACTAAACTAATGAGAGTTGGAGTGAGTTTTCCTTTTGAATTTTCATGGTTAGACGTTACAGTCCGTGGCAGCCGTCAAAGTCAAACCCCTGGATGTTTGACCGTCACGACAGCTTAAAGTTGTCTACCCGACCCCTTTGCACAGGGTGCACAAGAGGATGTGGTCTTCAACCGCACATTACAGTTGTTTGGCGTCGAGAGATTACCCCTCAAAGCGTCTGTCAGCCAACACTTGAGTGTCGAACGCGACCCTCGAAAATATCAAGGGCCGCAAGACTACGAGTACCACAAGGTACCCCATCAGCGTGAATGTTTGTGTATGTCCGCATTGCTGGTTGGTATGAGGAGGCCATGCGCAAGCCCGACACTTATACGGAAGTCCAGCGCGCGATACTTACCTGACTTCGCTGTACAAAGTTATAGGTCAGATACTGAAGGGACTAACGCGTGGTGTGTGTAGTGCGTCCTAGTTGACCGATGTCGAGTCGCGTTTGGGCCTTCAGCCCCCCAGTACAACGATTCACGTAGGGGTTCGATTCTAGGGCGTTCGACCGCGCGTAACCCCCTATGCTACAGCGAACGAGAAACGCCCTCGGCTGGGCCACCTCTGCAATTGCATACGTAAGGTTTTTGCATGTGGTTCAGTAGCTCGGCGGGGATACGCCCACCTAACGGATGGTGACAACTCCCATAGGTGGAGGTAAGCAGTGCCTCGCGTGACCCTGTCCTGTCGTAGGAGCCCGCGAGAGGTACGACTGGCGCACTCGAGTGGAGCGGCAAGCGCTCTCCGCGACAAGTCCTGCATAATCCTGCGTGACGCGGCCGGGAGGGTCCCCGTGTGGGACCGATGCGCTCGACAGGTGGCGCCGTTGCCGGGGATCTCGGTTGCCTACCGGGGTCCTTAAGAGAACGAACCCAATTTAAGTGCAGACTGATGATCCAGGCAAAACGACAAAGGTTATAGGTGGGATTGACTTATATAAGAGGGTTGTATATGAAGCTATAATAAGACTGAGCGATATATAGTGCGATTAAAGGTTGTATCTTGGGCGTGAATGACTAATGGTAGAGCGATTAGCTAAACCTAGAAGTAGAGTGGTCAAGAATAATGTAGGGCAAACCCTCTGGAACTTGACGAACTGCTTATCGGTCTATCCCTTGTTACTCATGTCAGGTTGGTTAGCAAAACGAGGTAAAGATGTCGGATGCAGATATAATCGAGCGGGGCCCGACAGCTACGCCAGCAGACTTCGTCAAGGCCCTTGAAAAAAGGGAGTTGGCACGGCTACGGGTACCAAAGGTTGACATCTTTCATTTTGAAGGAGAGAGGGTGTCGAAATGGCTGGAGCTCCTGGAACAGGTTACAACCGAGGTGCCTGAGGTAGATAAGTTTAAGTTCCTACCTCGATATATCTGGTGGGAAACCCGGCCCGAAGTAATAAAAGTAGTTGCTGAAGCAGGGGGAGACTGAGCAACGTTCTTGGCTGAGATGCAAAGGCGATTCAAGTTAGGGGATGGCTTGCTGACTAAGACAGATTTGGAGATGCTACAGCGGGATGAATTCTCCACAGTAAGGGCCTTTGCCACAACATTTGAGAAGATGGCAAAGAAAGTCCCAGGGTTGGCGGAAGAGGAACAATGTGCCACTTTCCTGGGGCATTTTAAGAATTGGGAAGCCTCGTCGTTAACTAAGAAGGCTGCACCAGGAAAGAAACTGACTTGGGCCGCCATAAAGGAAGGCGTGATAGAAGGAGAACTGGACCAAGTAGACATTTTTCAGATGAGACAAGCCAGGAAGAAGAGGAAGGTTTTGGATGTCACCACGAGTGATGGATGCGATTTTAAGAAAATGATAGAGGACGCGGTGGCCCAACTCGAAGCAGAGAAGGAAGCGAAAATAAAAACTATGGTGGCACCACAGACCCAAGGGAAAGCCAAGAAGACAGTGGTGCAGGAGGAAGAAAAAGAGGAAGAGAAAGAGGAGCCTGAGCCACAAAAGTTGACAAAGGCTCAGAGGAAGGCAAGGAACTTGACTCAGGGGGGGCAAGGCTCAGGGAGGGGTCAGGTCCTGCAAGTTGTAGCCATGCCCACCCCTCCTGAGCCGCCCAATCGGGCTGCACCAGCACACTATGGGCCATGGCCAGGTTGTGGACCTTCAAGTCACTGGAATGGGCACTGCTCATATGCACCATGGCCGATGAGTGGGCCGCATGGATCATGTGTCGGACCGCCGATGAGCACGGCTTCCTGCGGCTGCCCTGGTCCCCAAGCTCAGCAAGTGAGTCACCCAAACCCACCGCCAAACCAACCTCAGCAGTCAGCCCCACAAGGATCACAAGGCAACCAAGGCGGCGGACGTGGACAAAATCAAGGATGGGGCCGAGGGCGAGGAAATGGTGGCCGAGGAGGAAACGACAGAGGAAATGGTGGCCGAGGAGGAAACGACAGAGGAAATGGTGGTGGTAATGCTACAGGCGGGGGAAACGGGGACTGAACTGCATCCGGAAGTCAGGGTGGTCAAGAAGGTGGAAGAGGCGCTGACAGAGGTAGAATAGACTGGAGGAATGTTATTTGTTGGCACTGTGGGCAGAAAGGCCATACCATCAAGTTATGCCATGTCCGGAGAAACGATGAAGACGAAGGCCTAATCAACACCAACTACGATGGGGATATGTACGACAAGTGGGGGTACCACCTTGATCCAAGGACCCTAGGCGAGACAAGGAAGGAGGCCCTACGACGAGCCGAGGCAGGTGAACCGCCCGCCCCTCCAGCCATGTTTCGGATATGGCAGGAAAAAGAGGGCCGTAGTGACATCGGGGTGGAAAAGGTAAGAGAGAACGAGGGGGTAGAGCAAGAAAGGAAAGTTGGCATCATCAAGGAAGAACCAATCATAGTAGAGTCCGACGATGAGATAGAAGAAGACTGCTGGAACATACCGCGACACGTTGAGACAGGGGAGGATTACTAGAGGACGGCCCGACAGACAATGGAAAGAATGGAGGACTTGATAGACAAAGTCGGGCGGTACCAACAAAAGTTGATTGATATGTGTGAAAAAGTCAAGGAGTGGAAGGGTAAGGAACCGCTAGTATACCTCTACGACCTAGGTCCAGGGTCGCAAGGAGGATCTGGTAACCTGCCAAACGTCACGACTTCGGGGCCGGTGCCAAGATCCGGAATGACCTACAGACCACCCTCTAGGACGGGAAGGGTGCCACATGCTGTCAGGACCAGGGTTAAAGGGTCGGTGAGCCCCGAAGAACCGGCGAAGGATGTTCCCGAGTCGAGTGGAGAAAAAAAGGTAGTGGACGTTCCAGAAGAGCAGGATGATGAAGATGATAGGTTGAGAAAAGAAGAGGATGAGAAGGCAAGCAGAGGGTCAAGAAGAGAGGTGCCAAGCCTGATACAGACAAGGCACTGGAAAAAAGAAGAAGAAGTGCGTCGTTCGAGTAGAAGAGGGGTACGATGTAGAGGAAATAATGGACAGAATCCTTGAGGGTCATAATCACCTTATGAACCTGAAGGACGTACTAGCCTTAGCGCCTAGGCTCAGGGATGAGCTAAGGGCGCGACTATCCAGGAAGATGGTGGCCAGTGTGCGACTAGGGACTATAATCCCTAAGGAGGCTGAGTGGGCGGAAACGGGTACTAAGATGGACTGGAAGTCTGTCGCCTGTGGCTGCCTCGAAGTTGTGGTAAAAGGAAAGACATGCACCGCAATGGTGGACATTGGACCGGAAATGAACCTCATAAAGGAGGAACATGCTGTACGGCTGGGAATGGAGATAGACCGCTCTGACAACGGGGTTTTTATGGGGGCCAATAGGCGATCGATATTCATTGGGACCGCGTCGTCAGTGATATTGGAAATTAGAAAGGTGAAAGTAAGGAGCTGCTTCTTTGTGATGCCTGACTTGGACCACGCTATTCTACTTGGGAGATCGTTCCTAAGTCGGACAGAGACGGTCATCCTCAACAAACACGATGAAACTATGTTCCTCGTCCTGTGCGACCCCGTATGCGGGAACTACGAGGTCGTCACTTGCAAGAACACAGGACCCAAGAGCGTAAGGAACCGGCCCAACCCCGGTTCATTCACGATTGAAGAGTCAGAAGAAGAAGAAAGGCTAAGGATTGAGAACAACAGGCTCGCGGAGGTGAGAGAGCCAGAGGCGCTGACTCTAAGCTTGGCAAACATAGGTGACGCCATGGACATCGTATCAACCTATGGGATGGCGGACCCTGAGGCTGTGGAGGCCTTGAGAGAGAAAGTGGTGAAGCAGATGGGCGCGAGAGAGATGGAATTAGTGTATCGAACATCTGGGAAGACAGGTGGGGTGAGTGGAGCACAGCCCCAAAGTGCAACTCAGCCTTTTTTAGGGGTGGGCTCAAACAAGGTGCACAAAGGCGGTACAAAAGGGTAGACCAAAAGTGCCACCCTGTTCCCGTACTCGTTACTGAAGAGCAAGAAGTATACTACGAGCGGGAACGAGAATTGATACGGTAGATGAGAGGGAAAGCGGCAAATGGGCCATGTCGTATCAATCCCGAGACACAGAGAGTGTTGATTATAGGGGAGTCTGGCTTCCTTACAGCGCAGGAGGAAAAGCTTGTGGTGGAAACCATAAGAGGAAGGCATGCGGCATATGCCTTCAGTGATGATGAGAGAGGCCGACTGGACGTGGACATTATCCCCATGATTAGGATACATACCGTACCTCACGAGCCATGGAACTTGCGAGGCGCACGGTACCCTAATCCAGCGGACGAAGAGAAGGTAGTTAACTACCTTGACGGGAAGATCCGCACTCATGTGGCTGACTACTCGAGCGGACCGTATGCATCTCCATGGTTTTGCTTTGTCAAACCCAATGGGACTTTGAGGTGGGTACAGGATTTGCAGCGCCTGAACGCTGTGACAGTGAGAGACGCAGGTGGTCTCCCCAATGCTGATGCGCTTTTAGAGGCATGCGCCGGGAGGGCCATTATATCACTCGACTTGTATTCAGGCTATGACGAGTTTCCTGTGTACCCATCAGACAGGCCTATGACAACTATTCATACCCCTCGAGGGTTGATGCACATGAACATTGTGCCGCAAGGGTGGATGAATGCGGTCGTCATGGTTCAGCGGCACATGGTGAGGGCGATGCAACCCATAAGTCCTCACATCACGCAGCCCTACATTGGCAATCTGGCCGTGAAAGGGCCCAAAGAGAAGGATGAGCAGGAGGTGATGCCAGGAATCAGGTGCTTTGTCTGGGATCATGTGCAAGACTTGTGCAAGGTCCTGGATCTTCTGAAGGAGCATAACCTTACTGCCAGTGGGCCGAAGTCAAAGCACTGTATGAGCGGAGCTACCATCTTGGGGTTTGTGTGCGACGAGAGGGGTCGTCGGCCAGACACTAAGAAGACTAATAAGATTCTCGAATTGCCAACACCGTTCCAGACTATCACGAAAGTGAGGAGTTTCCTGGGAACGTGTGGGTTTTGGAGGATCTTTATTAAGGGGTTTGCGGCGAAGACAGAGCAACTGCGGAAGCTTGTACGTCAGGGTCAAGATTGGGAATGGGGAGACCAACAAGAGTCTGTGATAAAAGGTCTGAAGAAAGAATTTGAGGAAGGAGGGTTAGTACTGGGAGTACCAGACCATGCGGCGGTAATGACCAGACCCTTTATTGTCGAAACGGATGCCGGGCCAACTGCTCTGGGAGGTGTGTTGATCTAGCGAGACCCCAAAAGAGAAGAACGGCCATTGAGATTTGAGAGTCGGACGCTCAACACATCAGAGAGGAACTACTCTCAATTCAAGCGCGAAACCTTGACAGTTCTTCACTGTTTGACGATCTTTAGAAACTACCTCTTCGGCAGCAGGTTTGTACTAAGGGTCAACGCTACGACATTGGCTGGTTCCCTCAAGAACTTCGCTCCTTCAGATCCAACTATCGCCAGGTGGTTGACGTACATCTGGATGTTCGACTTCGAGTTGGAGCGAATTCCAGGGAATAAGAATAGGGCGAACGGGCTGAGCCGAGTCGACTGGGACAAGAACAATCAAGGAGTGATCGAGGATGTTCCACCAGTCGACGGGTTCTTGGACAGCGAGGAGGATGTGAGACTTCACATCAACTCTTGGGCATTGGCCGTAGGTAAGTGTGTTACTCTTGGACGGCCTGTATGGCTTGCGCCTCCAGGACATGCACGACGACTAGACTTGGTCCTCAAACCCTATATTGAAAAAGATTCTTGGGGAATGTCGGGCGTAGATTGGATGATGGAGCTGACATTGGTAGGCAAGTACCAACTGCATGAGGACTCGCTTACGATTGAGGATGGGGCGCTGCAGGTAAGCAAGCAGGAGAAGGCGATAGGTGGGGTATATCTGCTGGCAAATGCGCTGCTTCAGGAGGAGGCAGACAAGAATACGGTTCTAGACCAGAAAGGGGTGGTAGAGCCAGGAGAAGGCAACAATGTGATTCACGAGAGAGAAGATGATGACTTTGAAGAGGGGGAGATCAAGGAAGCATTTCGAGCAGAGGAGTATGAAGGAGTATACCTTGAACTCGGCATGCTTCTTTCGTGCGAGATGAGGGAAAGGGATGCCTGCGCGAGAGTTTTGAAGATGAGGCCAAGCTTCCTGGTAAGGGATGACCATTTGTTCATGAGGAGCAAAGAAAGGGATCCCAAGAGAGTAGTCTGCGGCGTCGCTCGCCAGATTGACATATGGCGGCACTGCACGACGGTATGGCAGGTGGCCACAGAGGTGCAGATACGACATATCTAAAAATCCACGAGCTGTACTATTGGGATGGCATGGGGCAGATGATCGACGATTACTGTAAGTCCTGTGTACCATGCCGGGAGCGATCCTCTCTTAGACTTAGAGAGTCGCTTCACCCAAGGTATGTTCGTGAGGTTGGAGCCGTCGTACACTTGGACTTGTTGGCAATGTCGTTGGGAATAGGGAGCTACAACTTCATCTTTGATGCGCGGGACAACCTCTCTGGGTTTGTGGATGGCAGGGCCATTCGCACAAAGACTGGCGAGACGCTGACTCGGTGTATTGAAGAGTATTATCTTCGCTATCCCTTTGTTTCCAGGCTTGTGATGGATAGGGGGTCCGAATTCACCTGTGCGGAAGTAAAGGCTCTTCTGAGGAAGTATGGGGTGATCGCTGAATACACCACTGCGGCACACCCTCAAGCTAATGCACCTGTGGAGAGAGGGCATAGCACCATTACGAATCTTCTTGCCAAGTGGACTAACGACAGACCCAATCAGTGGCCGAACTTTCTGAGAGTCGCTTTCTTCGTAGACAATATCACCGTCAGGAGGAGCACCGGCTATGCACCGACCACGTTATGGTATGGCAGGCACGCCACGTTTCCTATCGAGAGCTTCCTAAAGATCTGGAGGCGACAGGATCTCGAGACTGATCTGACCTTTGAGGAACTGCTGGATCTGAGAGCACGTCAGATCGACACTATTGAGGACAGGATTGAGGAAGCAGCAAGTAGGACAGCCGATAACCGTACCAAGGACAAGTTCCGGTGGGATAAGATGGCGAGGGTAAGAAAGGAGCCTCTCAAGGTGGGAGACGTTGTGTTGTTGTATGACTCATCCCTGGAAAAGCAGTGGTCTCGGAAGTTGGATAAGAGGTGGTTGGGACCTTACAGGGTCACCAGATGTGGTGAACATGGTGTCTACCAAATCGAAGAGCTGAATGGGACGGCATGGAAGGACTGGTTGTTAGGCTCGAGGCTAAAGAAGCTCGTGGCTCGAGACAAGGTTTGACACCACTTGGGGCAGCCATGCCAAGAGGGAGGGGAGGGGCAGAGCCAGTGGGAACCCCCTGGGGGGCAACCCGACAGAGGACGCGGATGAGGACTAGGAGAGGACAGACCTCCAGTCTTCCAGGGAGGGAACGTTGAGCTGTTCCTGATGAAGTTTGAGAGGCATGCGCGAAAGTTTGGATGGGACGGCACTAGGATGTTGAGGGAGGTGAGAGGCATAGGCGAGTGGGCGGACCCTATTGCTAAGATGGTCAGAGAGTCGTTAACCTGGCAGGATTTCGAGCGAAAAATGAAAGGTTTGCATCCGTCACCACTGGGAAGGGATGAATAGCCCATTCGATTCGACTCCACTAACCTGGGGGAGTTCCTATGGGCCTATGATCGGTATGCAGATGAGCTCGATATCCCAGGAGAGCGGAGGGTGGGGAACTTCCTTCTGTTCGTGAGCCACCATATTAGACCCTTCGTCCGATCTATCGTGGAATCTGCCAGGAACTGGGGGCACTGCAAGAAGCTGCTATGGAACTACTATACTCCAGCTCGTCAGACAGGTGAGAGAAGAGGCATGTAAAAGAGAAGAAGGGAACCAGAGGTAGAGAAAAGGGGAACCGCTGAGCAGGGCACATCGTCAGGGACACAAAGGGAGGAAAGGAGGAAGGAACACAAGTCCCACCGGCATGAGAGAGGAGGGGGGTCCGGTGGTTCAGATGCACCTCCACAGCCTGCTCGAAGGGAGATGAATTGTCCCATGCCAGATGTACAGCCCGATTTGCCTCATGAGCCACAGGTGCAGGACCAAAGGGAGGAGCAATCTGCCCAGGAGAAACAGTTGGATAGAAAGGAGAGAGCAGCAAGAGAGCAAGAGATCAAGACTCAACTCAGGATGAAGAACCTCGCTGAGCTGCATGAGAGGATGCAGCAAGGGAAATAGCCTGAAGAGGTGGAGGACAGGAGTGGTAAGGGCACCTTCACTCAAGAGGAGGATCTTCCCCTATTCTCAAAAGTATGGGTCAACTTTGACAAGTTGATGGACGCTGCAGGGAGATCTTGAGGGCATCACCAGGAGATGGGGGTCAAGTTGGTCTCTACAGACCTACTCAACCTGAGAGGCGCGATGAAGGAAGGCTTCGCAACAGCCAGAGCTTCAGACCAAAAGATTGGAGACAGGTTGACAAAGGTGGCACGAAAGGTATATAGCCAGGGGATGGACTGGGAAAGAGAAGTTGAGGGTTTAAAGAAGGAGCTGGGAAGGCAAGGCAAAAAGTTGGAAGCAGTAAAGGCGGGGATGGAGAAGGTTTGGGCTGAGAATGAGAGCGTCAGGCAAGTCAATCAGTCCCTCAACAGGGTCACTGACGCCCTCAGCCCAAACGAGAGCGTCAGGCAAGTCAATCAGTCCCTCAACAGGGTCACTGACGCCCTGAGGGCCTACCTATGCGCTCAACAAATCTCCTTTCAAGCGAAAGAGGCGAAGTGGGAGAAGAGAATTCAAGACCTCGAGGCCAAGTATGCATAGCAGGCTCCCACGAGAGTGGTGGATTGGACGGAGGTCCAGAGGTTTGAAATCAAGGAACAGCCCGCTGAGGAAGTCTTCAAGAGGGAGAAGAAAGTAGAGAAGTTGGATCAGCAGGAGGGTGAGGAGATCCCTCTGATCGACAAAGAGATGTTAAAACATCCAGGAGCACTAGCAGAGAAGGGCGTGGAGGTCGAAGAGTTTGAGTGGCGATTGCCAACGGGCCTGACACTTGGACATGAGCCAACACTACAAGGGAAGGGACCGCCTGCTGAGGCAATGAGAGCTGAGGAAGTTCCACCTACACCTCAGGGAGAGACTACGAGATAACAAGAGGGTCAAGAGAGTGTGGGCCAGACCATGGTTGAGACTGAGCAGAGAGTGGGCCTAAAGGACTGTCAGGAGTCAACTATGCCACAGGAGGTGCCGGTTACTGCAGATTTGCGGGACGCATTGGGATCTTGGGCCACTGGGTCAATGCCAGAGAGGCATGTTGGTGAGCAGGTGATACGAGCAGATGACGGAGCAGCCTGCCCCACTTCCTCAGAGGTCCCACAATAGGAAGTTACAAGTAGGATCTCGACAGTCCCGTCAGCAATACCCTCGCTGGAAGGAGAGAAAATGTTACAGAAAAAGTTGGACAAATATTTCTACTGCAAGAAGGGCAAGCATCGATCAGACGACTGCCCTAAGAGCCTCAAGGTCAGGTTCATTGATAGTTAGCATGCGCACGTGCAAGGCGGGGGTCGAGGAGTGGGCCACAAGAGAAGAGTGGGGCCGACAGAGGGAGAGAGGGAGAGAGAGAGGCTCTCCACGGGAGAATTGAATTCCCGACTGGCTATGCTACGCACCCATACTTGCCTATCATTACGCTGCTCACTCCACGAGCCACCTAATGTCGTTGCCTCGAGTCGAGACTGAGTCTGGGTATATGCGACGGTATAGACGGGAGGAGAGGGATGGAGGGAGAGGGGAGAATACTTACCTACAGGAGTACGACAGTCTCGTCGACTGCCAGAGCTTGCTGCGCAAGTCCAAGGGTGCGGCGGGCCGTATACGGGTTCCCTGGAAAGAGGGCGTGAGCCGCCTGAACCTGAGCTCTGAGTGGTGCCGGGTACATGCGAGATAGGAGTAGGATAAGGTGGGATTTTTGACAAGCGTATATCCCCTCGTCCTCGCTGAAGATTCATTCCCGCTTCATACATTTGGAGGGTAGATGGGACGAGGCCCAGGGTTCGTGACCTTCGGCTTTGTGTCTGGGGCCTTTGCTACGGGGTGCACCAACGTTTACTGAGACTAAGGGGGCCTGGCCCCGACTTCAGGTACACTACTTATCTCAGCGTTGCACTCAGCCTCACTGCAGAGCGGTAAGGCTGGGCTGATCGGGTGGCCTTAATGAGTCAGGGACAAGACGTTGTGAAAGTGTATTGCAGGAATCAGGCAGCAGGCCCCCCCTTGTGTTGTTCACTATGCAGTGTTGTGCCTTCTGACTGAAGCCTGAGTTTTGAAGTCGCAACCAGTACGTATCGGTCCATGCATATCGCTGCGTGACTGGCCGACTAAACGGGGCTTTGTACAGGGGCCTATTACTGTAGCTACGGTGGGGTAGCGCGCGTCCTACGATTGTTGGGGTCACTATGCGGCAGGTTGTATTAAGCACTGACCCCAACCATTATTGCACAAGCCTATTGGTGTTTTAATTGTTGTTTTATGCTGCTGTATCTTCGATGGGCGGTTGTTGGGCTGTGTATTTAGCTGTGTGGCGCGGAGCAATTGCTGATTGTGTTGATGGGCTTTAGTTGTGCACTCGAGGTGAGGTGACTGAGTTGCATCGTGTATCCCGTCGGGCATCACTGACGCGGCGGCCACTGGCCGTAGAATCCACTGGGATTGATGGAACTAAGGGTGCCAAACTTTGAAGAAACTGGGACTGTTATTACCACGGGCGGCTGCTGTTGTTGACCAGTTAATTACGCCTGTAGTACGACCAGACCAGCAGTGTTGTTATCAGCGCTGGCGCTTTCTGACTGTGCCTTGTGGGACTAACTGTACCTGTTGTGCTCCAACACACCCCACCGATTACCGCATTCAGCTAACGGTGGACCGTGGTTTTCAGGGTAAGGGACTGTTGGGCTGTGCAAACTACTGCTACGACGACAAACCTTGAAGGTACTGTGGCCAGATAACAACGGACTATTGCTGACTAAAGCTGCTGGGTCGAGCTATACAGTCGTCTTGCCTGGCTTACTCGAGGTTGCAGCCGTTGCATTCAGCAATAACAAACTGCTGCTACGGGGGCTGGGTTGATGCTCCTGTATTGCAAAAGGAAGTTGCCACGGCTGATGGGGTGCTGCTGCTATCGCTTGACCAAGTACTGAGGCCTGTACACAGGCCAGGCCAGTATTGTGGTTGACGACACCAGTGCTTTGACTGGGCCACTGAGGGACTGGCTGTGTCTCAACGAATCTGGTTGTGTACCGTATTCAGCAAGCAGGGGGCCGTGGCGTTCGAAAGCTGAGGGCTGCAGGGTTGTTTCAGTCGCTGTAGTGGATTGGCTGCCTACGCTGCTGCAGGTTACTGATAAGCAGGGCCATGTTCCTCGCGGCACACTGCAGCGTCGAGGTTGCTGCGGGCTTCCGGGTTGCAGGGCGCCCTCGCCGAACCTCCCTGAGACGCTGCTCCTCGTGGAGACAGATTACTGTGTAGAGCTCCGTACTTGCTGTACACAGCTGCTATGCTCACTGCTGTCCTCGGCCGCCGTGGGGCTTGGCAGCATGTTGAACAGAGCGGAGGAGTGTGCTCTGTTAAAACGTAGCATCCTTGTGACTCGGAGCTGCAGTTCAGACGGAGGGGACCACCGTGAGGTGGTGATTACCAGCAGCAGGCGGTGGGAAGTTCTTGGCTGCTGCTATAGCACTTTTGTCGGGACTATTACAGCAGCTGCCACTACTGTTGAAAAGAGTTGCGGAGCCACCTTGTGTTGAGCCTGGTATGCTGCGGTACTCTCCCTGAAGGGTTTCGTTGTGCGCCTGGTTGGGCACTAGCTGCACACGGCTATGTACTCGGGAAAGGGAGCAGACACAGCACCAGGATTGTGGCCTTCAGAGGTTGGGGACTGTATAAGCGTTCTGGGTGCTGTAGTGGATTAGTTATCAACCTTGTTGTGGGTTATAGCTGTGTTGTGCACCCTTCTGAACGTTGCCGCAGTGCAGGGCGTTTTTCGGCATTGCTGTCGTGCAGAGCACTGCTTATTGTCGAACGCCATTCCTATTCGTTCTTACGACGGACTCGTTACTGCGACTAAGGAGGTTGGCAGGGGGCTGTTATTCTACATTTTGGTCGCGAGTTCGACACCTTCGCTGCGCTATTTTGACCATCATTGCGGTGCCCTCAGGCGAATCAAGACTTCAAGGCCCTCTCTTACGAGTCTGAGAGCACCCCTCTTGGATCTGAGTGGCTAAACTTTCTTTCGCTGCCCTTCTTAGTCTCAGTCTAGTCTATGTTACGAGAGGAAGATGGCAGACGGGATTGTAACCCGTAGGTCCGCGCCAAGGCCTCTGTGGGAGGTGGCCCCACCGATTGCGGGAGCTTTGCCAGAGCCCAGGCGGGGTTCTGGAGGCAGAAAACTTCAGGTATAATCTCGTTAACCCGTGTGATCCCTTCCCCTACTTATTATCCCTGGGTTGTTGAAGTTAACTATGTAAGGCTATTACTTCATAGTTTGTTATGTATGTCAGGACATACTTTGCAAAAGGTTAAATTAACAGCTATATATGATAGTTCAGATAACTTTTGAGAGAACTTAGACAAAGTTAAACTGGGGGAAGGTGGGTTGAGGATGTTCTGCATGCTTTGACCGGGTCAACCCAGGGATGAGCTCCTCTAAGTTGATGTGGGCTCGGTGCTGTGTTTTATTCATGTTTGCAAGGGTGACTGAATGGTTTTGAGGGCTGGGGCTATCCTAAGTTGGACGGACCAGTCGCTGTTTTTTTCTGGGGTTTCTGAACAGGAGGATGAACACCCTAAGTTGAGAGGTCTCAAAATCCTGGTGTTTTTTTGTGGGTTGCTGAAAACAGAACTGGGAACACTCTAACTGGGAACACTCTAAGTTGTGTGGATCCAGTTCTGTGTGTGTTTTCTTCTGAGGGGGACGCATGCATGAAGCTGAGCGTACCCTTAAGTTAGGGCGGCTCAGTCATAAGCCATGAACATAAAGGCCAACCAAAGTATACAACTTTGATACATACTATACGAACTTATATCATCTGGCAGACCGGGCACCCTAAGTTGGGAAAGCCAGTCTGTAAGTCAGGTAGAACAAGAAGAGGAGAAAAGCTACGAAGAATACAATAAAGGTAACCTGGGCAGGCTGAGCGTATCCTTAAGTTAGGGCGGCTCGGTCCTATGCTCATTACAAGACAAAGGAGCAGAGAGTTAATATAAACCTGTTTTATTTTCCCTTCTAAACACAAGGCAGAGTTGGATGTCTCCCTAAGTTGGGTAGGGCTGATTATCTGCCTAATAAGAGAAAAACATATGAAGTTTGTGCAAGTATATCAATGGTTGTTCTCCTATGTTGTCGTTACGGAGGCTAAGCGTACCCTTAAGTTAGGGCGGCTTAGTCATACGTCGTTGTACTTTGTTCAAACAAATTATGTCTTATGTACCTAAACAGTTTAAGCTAGCTAGGCGTACCCTTAAGTCAGGGCGGCCTAGTGATATGCTCTTGTCGTTGATGTTATGTAGGTTGGACGTACCCTTAAGTTAGGGCGGTCTGACCATTCGTCGTTCGTGCTTGTTTTAGGCAGGTTAGGCACACCCCTAACTTGGGGCAGCCTGATCCTATGCCCTACGTAACTTTGTTTAAAGGTGGCTAGACATACCCTTAAGTTAGAGCAGTTTAGTCTTATGCTTCATGTCGTCAGTTTAAACAGAAGCTAGGCGTACCCTTAAGTTAGGGTGGTCTGGTCATATGTTTTATGACTAGAGTTTATCTGGAGTTGGGCATACCCTTAAGTTAGGGCAGTCCAGTTGTGCGTACTTTTACTTGTTTACTTAGGCAGGTTGGGCATACCCTTAAGTTAGGGCCTTGTCTGATCCTATGCCATAAGTGAGGGGGTCTTCTAAAGGGAAGAACTGAATGGTTTAACGAAGTACTTGGGCAAATTGATGTGGGATTGTGAGAGATGTATGTGTATGCTTGCTTGTGGGCTCTCACTTGGGGCGTCTTTTTCGATAGGATAGTTGGTTTAGATGCTCGCCAAGTGTTAGAGCCATAGGTAGGTGAGATGGATGATGGGAGGGAAAACTTGGGATGAAGGTAGGACTGACCCTGGTAGGAGTTAAGGTCAATGCTGGCCCACAGTCTCATCTAGAGGTTGTGTTGGCTATCGTCGATCTTGAATCATCAAGCTGGTGTCAGAAGTTAGTTCTAAGTATAGTTGCTTTGTCTTTCTGCTTTTTCAGCTTCGTATAAATCTTGACAACCTCCTGTTCCTACGGGAAGCGCTGCCGAAATTTCTACAAATCTGAAGGAGTTAGTCATTTTTAAACCCATAGAAATTCTGAAAAGACACTTTTCCTACGGGAAGCGCTGCCGAAATTTCGTAGAATTTTGGGAGTTGGGATATTTTGCAGTTAGGCGCTACTTAGCAAATCTATCCTGGTTAGAGGAGATGTTCAGTGACTTAGTACTAGTAGAGGAGCTAGGATGCAACTAGTGGAATGTTCTCCCCTTGACAGAAGCATAAGTAGTACTCTTCTTTGGCCTGTACTGTGATGTAGGGTTCCGTGTATCACTTGAAGGCTTGATTTGTTCAACCTATTCCTTCATAAAGATCATTCTTCTGTTATCACTGATAACAGGTCGGTTGCCGATTCGTCGGTTTACGACTCAACCCCAATTCACCCTCAATACTTAACCTAAAAAAGCTTTAACCCTAATGATTTTATTGTTTTGTTGAGGTTTCACCCATACTTTTATTGAATGGTCATTTAACAAAGGTACTGAGTACTTAATTATGGTTGGTTGGCTAGAGGTTGGGGCTTGCATGGTTAAAGCAAGGGGTATGAGAGGAGAGGTTGGTTGGAGTTGACCCTGTGTAGCGCGTGGATCTTTGCCTGATTCTGTGATGTGATTGTAGGTATGTATGGAAGAGTTTCGGTCGAGTTATGTTGAGTGATAATTGCTTGGACTCAGATGGGCAAAACCACACAACTGTCGTGAGAGTGAACTACCCCACAACCCTTGTGTTTGAGTGAGATTGTTTTATCTTTGTTCTGCTGAGGTAATAAGCTAAGTAAGTGTACGCTAGCATAACCCTCCCCGGGCTAAACCCGATAAGGGTTCTTCTAATGATGTTAAGGGTACTTGCTTTATCCTTGTTGGAATTCATTTTGGTGGAACGATAAGGTTCCGGGCGGAAGCATTAGCGTATCGCTGGTGGTGCGCCAGACAACTCACCACCACTCCGAATTCCTTCTCACCCTAGGGGTCGTCTTATCTCGCACCCTTTGGGACACCTCAGGGTGCAGAAGACGGAAAGGCCCTCAGGCCAGTTTTGCGCCCGCTAAAGGGTAACTTCCCTTAGCGAGCGCCTCAGTCGACGCCTGAGATATGTTGCACGGTGGCCGTGGCCTGGTTCAGCCTAGGTTGCGGCCGGCGACCTAGACGGGGACCCCCCCGGCCGCGGCCGGGTCGGCCAAGAACTTTCGGCCGATGCCGCGGCGAATCGGGGAGGGGGGTTGGGGGGCGGGGAACGGGTCTCGAGTCGGGGGGGGGGGGGGCTACCTCCTCGCAAAAAAAAAAACATAAAAACTTCAAAAACGGGGGGGTGGATTTCGAAAACTAGCAAAAATAAATAAATAAATAGAAGAAAAAAAAAAATTCATTGATTGACTGTTTTTTTTCTTCTCTTGATTGATTGATTGATTGATTGATTGATTGATTGATTAATTGATTGATTGATTGAATGATTGGTTGATTGGTTGGTGGGGGAGGGGTCCTCCCTCCACTCCACGACGCACACCTCTCTCTCTCTCTCTCTCTCTCTCTCTCT